TGGAGGATGGGGCAGATTAATCGAAAGCGGGCGGTCAGTGCGGGTGACAGAAGGTGAGCCCGAACAAGCATGAAAAAAAACTCGCGTGTAGATTTAATGCATTAACAACATGCAGCTCATATGAATATGCAACAAAAGTACTTGATTATAGTTGATTGTTGTTTTTTTCACGTCAGTACATACATATATACAATTTACTGTTTGGATTTAGGTACGTGGACTTCATTACATACCCAGTTTCATATAGCACTTTTGTATTTGTGCCGGACGGACGCGTGTCAATGGCATTGCTGGTCAGCAGCCGATCGCTAGCCCTTCATGCGGGCACTTCAACAGCTTTTTCTTTGTGTATGTGCGTATATGCGCCACGCCGCCGACCAATCACAGCATTGCCAATTGCTGCTGCACCGCCAGACATTAGACAGCCGGGACCTGCAGAGAGTGGTGGCTGAGGATTAGGAGCTTAACCGCCTAATGGGGTTGCTTAGGTGACATGCGTAAACACGCCCACGCAAGCAACCACTGCGACGACGACAATAACATTAACAAGTGTTGGTCGATAGTAGTAACGGGGGCAGGAGGCGAGTGGCTGATGAAGTAATAACAAAAATAAACTACCAACGCCTACACTTGCTGTAAGCTTTTATGCTTAGCCACTATTTCTGCATTCACACTCAGCTTGCAATTATGTATTGTGAGTAGCTTTAAGCGCCAGTACTGCGTTGCTTGCATGGGTGGGCGTGTGTTTATTGTTGCCGTGCTTTTATTTTTCCCGCTCTTTGTTAACCACCATTGTTGTTAGTTACGCTACACTCAGTAATGTGCGCGAGTAGAAGAGCGAGTGTTGTTGGCTGCCATTGCTTGTACCGTTACTCCAAAGTGCTGGGCTATGTGCAGCAGTTCGCTGTTAGTTGTTGCTGTAGTAGTATCTGATACTCTTGTCATTTCACTTAGCCAATTATCCAATAGGAATTACGCAGACACCTATACTTGTCTCGCTCTTGCGCATGCTCAGTTGGCGGTGCGACGGCCATTTTGCGCTGCTTGCCTACTCTCTTTCGCGCACGTACGCGTCATCCTACGGCAAGAAAACCAGTTTTTCTACTTTTGAAATTCACCTCATGTGCGTGTTTATTCACCACACAGCATTTGTTTTTATTTTTTCTTCAGCAACTAGCTGTATGCTTTGCACTTTTGCAATGGCAATTTCTCGGTTGTGCCTCGACTATTGCTTACGCATTCTGCCTCTATTCACCTAAATGTCGATGCTGGTTGCGTGCATGCAACAAAAGTCACGGCATGTGGCATGCGATCTCTTGCTGTTGCACACAAGCAGCGTGCTGTGCACCATAGTAACGCCATAACGCTGGCAAGCAGCCTCACTACCACCACTGCTAGTACCTTCGCGTGTATGGAGTATCACTTCTAGAGGCAAGCAGGCAGGCAGCAATCAGCCAGCCACCAGTTAGTCAGAGAATTCTTGATGTTCATGCACATAAAGGTTTTTGTGGCAGTGCGTGTTGTTGTTATTGTCGTGCTACACCAACTGTGCGCCAGGCTGCGTGTGTGTGCCGAAGGAGTCAAGCCAACCACTGTGCACCCCGATTCGCACAGCGTCGACCACGACGACAACACACACGACACGATACCACTCGGAACGGTACGGTCGGCCGCACGCTTGTGACTGTATGCAGTGGCATAGGTAATTCCCAATTGTACAGATCGCTAACGGAAACAACGCAAACGCAGTTAGAAAAATTTCGTGCGCACCGCTAACTGACGGATCAACGGCTGTACAGAGCGCTGTTTAGACGGTACCGCGGTCGCGAAAAGTTATTTGAACAAAGTGAAAATCGTTTTGAAAATTTTCGAAATATTTAGCAAATGTGAATAGTCGTCAAAGAGTGCGCGAGAAATTATTATTTTCGCAATTTTTGAAAAAAAAAAACCAATGAAATGCGACGGCAAACGAACGCAGTGATTTAATTAAAGCAAACAGTTTTGTGGAAATATTGACGCACTAAAGAAAATTTAAAATACTAAAACAGAATGTTGAACATTTTCGAATGTGTTTTTGAAAGAGCTTATGTGTTTATAAAATTGTGCTCCGTGAAGCCTTAAACAATTTGAGTCTGCGGAAATACCAAATAGAGAACTAAGGCAGTTTGCGCAAACATACAAATAGTTTGAGAGCCACTGCTAACAACTTACCATTGACCTACTGCCGTTATCTACTCCGATCGACGCGTACATTCGAACACCCATACAGCCACAAACCCCCCTCTCTATCCCCCAAAGCAGCCTTCAAAATGATGATGAACGCCTTCATTGACCCTTCACCCTCGCAGCACCACCTGGCCACCTATGGACTGCGTATGTCACCTACCACACCCACCAATCAGTCGGACTTGCTGGGCAGCAGCGCGCACAGCAGCACGCACAGCAACAGCACACAGGTGCAACAGCAGCAACAACAGCAGGCGCAGCAACAGCAACAAGCCCAACAGCAACAGGCGCAACAACTGGACACTAGCGGTCTGATGTCCTCAGCCATGTCGCTGGGCGCTAGCGTCAGTGACATGTCCTCATCCGTAGGCGCCTCCGCCGCCAGCGCGCTGCCTACCAGAATAGCGGCTACAGCACTTCAACACACAACTCGGCTCGGCGTATTCATCACCACGCGATTTTTTGCTTGGCCGCCGCACGGACAATGACTACATGTCCGGCGCTACCACATCACACTGGTCGGCCAAAGCGCCGCTACTACAGCCGCCACCG